CATTTTACTCCCTTTTGCCCTCTTCGGACCTCCCCTCAACCCCCTTGCCCTCTGGCAGTCACCATACTGTTGTCTGTCTGTTTTTTGCTTGCTTGTTTGTTTGTTTTTGCTTAATCCCTTCACCTTTTTCACCCAGTTCTTCAGCCCCCCTCCCCTCTGACAGCTATTAGTCTGTTCTCTCTCTATGAGTCTGTTTCTATTTTGTTTGTCAGTTTATTTTGTTCATTAGATTCCACAAATAAATGAAATCATGTGGCATTTGTCTTTCTTTGACTGGCTTATTTCACTAAGCATTCTACTGTCCAGGCCTGGCCAGGCTATCACAAAAGGCAAGATTTTGTTCTTTTTTATGGCCAAGTTGTATTTATTCCATAGTGTTACTGTACCAAAGCTTTTTTATCCACTCGTCTACTGATGGACACTTGGGCTGCTTTTAAATTTTGGCTGTTGTATATAATGTTGCAATAAACATAGGGGTGCATATATTCTTTCAAATTAGTGTTTGTTTTTTAATATGCCACATCAGAGAGCAAAACCAGTTTCCTCATGCCCTCTTCTATTCTGTCAACATAACTCTTTGGTTTTTCCCTTCTCCTCACTCATCTTCTTAAGAAGGGTCCAGGTTTCTCCAAATCTTATTTCCACGTATAGGACCTATTCCATCATCCCAACCTAAAGCCACCTAACCCTTCCCCACATGTGTCTGTATTTGGGGAAGGCAGGGTCACTTTTCTAGTTCCTCATTACTGTGATACTCTCAGCCCGGGGACCGGAGAAGGGATAGACTGACATCAGGTAGCTGCTGTGCTCCTTTTGACTCCTTCTCTTTCTCTTTTGACTGTCTGACCACACCGCACCAGCACCCTGACTTGGTTCACCTCTCCTCAGGAGCTCTTCACCTCCCTTGATTAGTATCTCCTGCGTCTTAACTTACTGACGCTGTGGTCTCAGTGTGCAGAAGGGGAAAGAAACACAACACTACATTTATCTAGTACTTTTTCCTGCATTATCTCCTTTGACCTTTTCAGCAACCTTTTGTGTTAAGTGGGAACAGATATTCTTGTTCCCTTTTTTACTGACAAGGAAGTGAAATACAGATGAGTAGAGTAAATGATTTGCTCTGTCTTTCAGCCTCCGAGTGGCTGGACTGGAAACTGAGCCTCCAAATCCTAGTTCAGGGGTCCTCACACTACGGCCCGCGGGCCACACGCAAATACAAATATTGTATTTGTTCCCGTTTTGTTTTTTTACTTCAAAATAAGATATGTGCAGTGTGCATAGGAATTTGTTCATAGTTTTTTTTTAAACTATAGTTCGGCCCTCCAACGGTCTGAGGGACGTGAACTGGCCCCCTGTTTAAAAAGTTTGAGGACCCCTGTCCTAGTTTATATGTTTTCCACTGTCTCCTATTTTAGTGTTGACAGAGAGACAAAAATGAATCACTGATCGGTATTATGAAATGCACATAATATCTTTTCTTCCTGAAGATCTTATTCAGTCTTTTAAAGTATTCTGAGAATGTGAATCTGAGTTTCTTTAGCTTCTTGGTTTTAGAAAAGACCTTGGGGAGGAGGGTCTCTCTCTGAAGCATGCCACACCTTTCTTCCCTCTCAGGCGTGCAACTTTACTTTTCTCTCCTAAACTCTGTCTCCACGAGACTTGCAACCACAGGAGCAACAGGCAGTGGCAGTTCATCCCAGGCTAACCCCTGAACCTGCCTGCAATGCACCCTTTTCTCTGACCTTTCAGTGCGCTAACAGCAGCCCCGCCTTGGCTCACTTCTGTTACTGTGACTGTTACTTCTCAGTGAGTCCATACTGCCCTGTGTGGCTCACTTCTTTGTTTCTAGACTCTAGAAACAAATCTAGAATCTAGAGCAGGGGCCCTCAAACTACCGCCCGCAGGCCACATGCAAATACAAATATTGTATTTGTTCCCGTTTTGTTTTTTTACTTCAAAATGAGATATGTGCAGTGTGCATAGGAATTTGTTCATAGTTTTTTTTTTAAACTATAGTCCGGCCCTCAACAGTGAACTGGCCCCCTGTTTAAAAAGTTTGAGGACCCCTAATCTAGAGGGTCAAAGCAGCCCTGCCTGGGCTCCCTCCTGTTGCTTCTTCTGTCCTAAGCCCTTCCTTTGTTTCCCTGTCCCCAGCTTTAATAAACATACTCTCAAAATCAGAAAGAAAAAAAAAGATGACTGAGTTTGGCTAGTGATCTAATGGACAGGTTAGGTTCTCTGATACTGACTAAATTACCATCTTTATTTAACAATTATTAAATGTTATTATATATAGACCTATGTTTGCAGTATTTCGTTGCCCTTTTGAGAATCTGTTGGTAATATTTATTCAGAGTCTTTATTCAAACAGTATGCCAGTTCACAAGTTTCGAAAATCTACATATTTGTAGTTTTTAATTAAAAAATATAAGAAATATTTTTTATATATAATACTCTTTTGAAACTAAGAAGTATTTGTTACAATATTTATCACTTAACTAATAATGTAAAGTGATGTTTTATCACTCCTTTTTATTATTACATATTGTGAACAGATTGAAATTAATTTTTAACTTAAATTCAACCAGTTTTATTGAATTGTATTAATGTTTATTTTACTTCACTGCCAAACAAAGCATTCTAGAGCACACTGTAACATATATATATATGTGTGTGTGTGTGTGTGTGTGTGTGTGTGTATATATAGCCTCATAAGAAAAAGAAAATGCAGTTATATCTTTGCAAGTAAAACAGATTAGGAACTGACATTGTCCTAACACTGTAGGCAGTGTTTGCTCCCTACAGAGCTTCTCTATACAGCAGGTCAAGAAGGCTTATGTGTGAAGCAGCTGATGTATTGGGTTTGTAATGCAGCTTCGTTCTCATTGCCATTTGTCCACCCAGAGGCCAAGGATACATATCATTGACGGTGTAAGAGTCCTGGATGTGGAAAACCCTTGTGTCCTGTGTTCAGAGCTCTCTGTGTGACCTGAGGCCAGCAAGCATAGGCACAGTTGGTTTACAGTGCATTCATACAAAGCTCTTTGATGTAAATTTTTCAAACCCATTTTCTGCAATATGGTAATATCCAAATTCTAGCTTTGACTGTGGATGTTGTTCTCCCCGCTCATTTTTAAGTTGTTTTTATATTTCAGATTGCTAAATGGCACACTGCCTAGAATATGCCCTCATATTGAGACCACTCTCGGTTTGATCTAGTGCCAAAGGAAAAAAAAAGAGATTCTGTTGGGAATATAGTTTGCTTTACATGTTAGGGTGAGTGAGAGAACCATCTTGAAAGGATGATGAAATTGTAGAAGTATTGTCGCTAACATTCCTGCCTATTTTTCCTGAATGATAAAAATTCTATACGACTCCTGCCTCAGTAAAGTCTTGGCTATGTAGTTTTCTCTTCGGACAGATTAGCTGTGTCCAGTCACATGTGTTATCACTTGTGTGCAGTTTTGCAGTTTACTTCTTTTATAAATTATAGATGCATTCTGCTTAAGGGAAAGTACACACACACACTGGTTTATATTGCAATCACAAAAGCTTTTAAAATGATGTTTAAAGTAAAACTGTTATACAGTGAATAACCATTGTAGAAAGTATCATCTTTAGGTTCCAAATTGATTTAGGATCTTTTTGCTTTGTTCTTTTCATATCATTTGTTATCTTTATTAGTTTAGCTTTTACCAGACATGTTCATTCAGAGACACCTTATCTTAGTCTAGTCTGGCTGCTATAACAAAAATACCATAGACTGGGTGGTTTAAACAATAGACATCTATTTCTCTCAGTTCTAGATGCTGGAAAGTCCATAATCAAAGCTCTGGTAGATTCAGTGTCTAGTGAGGGCTCACTTCCCTAGTTCACAGACTGTTCTTTTTGCTGTGTCCTCACTTGGCTGTAGGAGTAAGGGTGTCTCTTACTAGTATATAAGGGCACTAATCCCATTCATGAGGGCTTTACCCTCATGACCTCATGACCTCCCAACAGCCTGACCTCCTAAATACCATTACATTGGGAATTAGATTTCAGAATATGAATGGGGTGGGGGAGGCACACACACATTCAATTTCTAGCACGCCTATTCTAGTTAGGAAGGAAAAGAAGAGATAATATCAAATTGAAATGCTTAATCCTTGTCAGGCTGAAAAGAAACATAATTATCTTTCAACTGGCTAAAGTATAATCTATAATAATAAAAGCATAATATGCTAATTAGACCAGACAGCCGAACAACCTTCCGGATGTCCTTCTGGATGACCTGGACAAAGCTGGAGCTGCAAGGGCTGAGCCCCTTGCACGAATTTCGTGCATCCGGCCTCTAGTCTATAATAATAAAAGCGTAATATGTTAATTAGACTGGATAGCCTCGGGACAAAGCCAGGCTGCGAAGGCCGATGCAGCCGCTGCAGCTGCGAGGGCCAAGCCCCTTGCACGAATTTCGTGCATCGGGCCTCTAGTAGTTTTATAAAGGGATAGAGTGTAGCTTTTTTTGAAGGTTTTCATCCTCATGATTTCTACAAGCTTTTTTCTTATTTTGGAACTATTAGAACATGATCAATTTTGTATATTTCAGAGAATAGTAAAATGCTGATAATTATAAATTGTTTACTCAAGTATATTACTTCATCAACTGAAATGTTAAAAAAATATTGAGAAAGCATCTCTTATAATGAAAAAAATTTAAAATAATTGATCTAAGAAGATTTATTCTGAGAATAGTTTTCCAGATATATCTGAAAAGGTAAATTGATTTTAAAGGGTGTGTAATTGGTTAATTAAAAGACATCATTTAAAAAAAAACCTGTATATGATTCACTATGGGAGCCTCTGCTGAATGCCCTGAGGTAGATATCTGTCAAGCCAGTGGGCAAATAAGTTTTCATGCAACAAAAGAGAATATTTGTAGTAGAATAATAGAGAAAATACATGTTACCTGAAGTTTGTGCTAACTTTTACAATATATGTGTGTTTTGTGTATTCTCTCCTAGGTATGAGAAAGTGCCAGTCATCTTGGTTGGGAACAAAGTGGACCTGGAAAGTGAGAGAGAAGTGTCATCCAGTGAAGGTAGAGCCCTTGCTGAAGAGTGGGGCTGCCCCTTCATGGAGACTTCTGCTAAGAGTAAAACAATGGTGGACGAACTCTTCGCAGAAATTGTGAGGCAGATGAACTATGCTGCGCAGCCTGACAAAGATGACCCATGCTGTTCTGCATGTAACATACAATAGCATTCAGAAATGCCGATCCTGGACAGGCTTTGCCCAGTATCATAGGTGATACAAGCCTCGTCTGCCCGACTGCAGAGTTTGCAGGATGTGTGGTGTGAATCTATGGTGAAATAGCAGCCCTCATTCAGAATTCAGCAGTGATTGTCCGTTGATATCTCTGAGTAACATTTGGGTTCAGTAACTACAGTTTTCACCATTGTCCTCAGTCTCCTAGACGCACCTGCAACTTTGAGGCATAGCCAATCAATCTACAGGGTGATCTCCTTTGAAAGCAACGATGGCATCGTCGCTGAGTTGACCGAAGCAACTATTGTATAAAAAGTAATCATGAGAGAGAAACCAGAAGAATTCCTATGACCACTACAATTAAAATATTTTATCTTCTGTAAAAAAAAAAATAATAATAATAAGTAAAGGAGAAATATTTTCCTACAAGAGTACTGAATTTCAGGAATTGAGATAGTGCTTCTAATCAATGTATTCTGTCAAGTAAGATAACAGCTGACCTGCCAACAGCATTACAGGGAGAGATTCTTTGCTCAACTGACACATTTCTGTTTTTCAAAATTGATGCTTAATTGTAGATGTTATTCTAATTTGTGACACAGAACTAACTCATGCATCAGTCCTTGCTAGAGCAAAAGTCAAAACAGGTTGTGTAAACATACAGTCTCGCTTTAGAAGTGTAAAGTCACCTGCTTTGCCACAGAAAATGGAGGCTCTCACAAGGGTTTGATCTGAATTAAAGCCCCAAACCCACCCTCTGGTAATCAAGCAGATATGGTCTTTATTACATTTCTGAACAAGAAGGAAGCAACTGTGATGCAAAGAAACTGCGCAGCCTTACTAACAAGAAGCGTTCTAGTAGTAGCTGAACTAGTACCATCATGTAAGGAAAATGAAGCCATGTTGCATCCATATGTTCCCGTTTGCAGAAACCTCACAGGACAGTACAAGTATTTTGCATTTTTATGTTTGTTAAAGCAGCAAATTCCTTCTTGCCTTTAAGGGCTATGGTTGTGGTGTGATTCTTGGTTAACCTGCTTTCCAAATCAAGTTTGCTTGTAGCAGAGCTTTATTGCAGGCATTTAAAAAGATTGAATAACCATGTGAAATAATTTGGGCTTAAGAGTAGAACATAAATTATAGAGTGGAAGGTAAGAGACAAAAAAAAAAGTCTTTTATCTTTAATTTTCCTGGAGAATTATATAAAGATTTTCCTGTAACAATTTTGCCCTGATTACTGAAGTGGCAAATAAAGCTAGAGAATATTTTGTTTTGAAAAGGTGCTCAAGCTTCAACATTTCTGGTTTTCATAGCCGTGAAGTATTTATCGTTTGCATGACTAATGGCACAGGAAAAACCTATACAGTCAAGTGTAGGAAGGTTTTTTACCTAACCTCAGAGTTATAAATGCTAAAGAGAGTACCTTAAGCTGATTTTCAAGGTAAATTTGGCCTTTGGAACTGCAATATCGCTGAGCCTGTGGTCTACATACCACCCCACATTTTGTTGTTCCACACTCTTGTGCAAGTAACCTCTGGTCTTATGTGTGTAACTGAGAGAATAGTGTATGTTGTGTGTGCATGTGTGTTTTATCGTTCCTAAGAATTTGGCACAAGTCAGAGATGATCGCCTATACTGAGAATCCGTGCTGCAGAAAATAATTATCAAAAACATCTTTTTCTTTTAAATTATTTATGTGTTTGTTAAACATCATTGAAATCATTGGTAGCCCCCAGTGTTTAGTAAACTGGCAGTAAGCTTAAAGGATAGAAAAAAGGTGGGTAGTAACTTCTTATAGATGAGAAAACAAGTGTGTGGGTAAAACCAGGCCAGAGTTGTTAAGTCTGAATCATGAATGTTTCCATTCTTCAGTATAGATTTTTTTAGAAACCCCCATTATGAAGCACCTTGTTTATAGGACAAAAAGTTCTAATCAATTTCATTGAAACAAATTCTATCGTGTAAAAAAGTTGATTTGACTCAACCTGTAAAGAAATCAAAGGTTTAAGAAGGATGATTTCTCTACTGAAATATAAATATTTGTTAGTGAATTGGTTGAGTTTTGACGCCTCTAACTTCTCAGAATGATAGAATTCCATATTTAACAGCAATTTATGACAACTAAGATTCCACATTAGAAACCTCTATAAAGATTCTACAGTTTTACCTAATGGATTGCTATGCAGATAAGAAAAATAAGTTTAATAATATGAAAGGTATGGCAAAATGTAAGGTGAAAAGATTATTTAGAAATTGGGGTTTTAGTTAGAAGTGTTCGTGTCAGACAGTAAGGTGGGCTTTCACTGTAAAGATGTTAATAACTAACTTGGCTGCCTGATCACAGTGTTTCCTACGTACTTGGGGACAAAACGTCAACGGCGATATCCAGAAACGTGGAAACCCTCGTGTGCTCTTACTGTTGGTATTTCATCTGGTATGAATATAACTCAGCTTGAATGAATGTGTTTGTTGAGATGTTAATAAAAAGCTTAAGAACAGGAAGATTAAATTTGTTGTCACATGAAATAATAGTGGCTACAGAGAAATGTTGGTGACCTTGTATCACTATTATTTTATGCCCTGATCAGACTAGCAACTAGATAAGTGGAAGTTTTTCTAACATGCCTTAAAAATATTATGGTTTGATCCAAAGACCCACTTTTTTTTTTTAGCTATTTTATAAGTTTTGTTGGTTTTGCTTTGTCTTGTTTTACTTTTATACAAAGGCAGCATTTGTTAAATTTTTGTTGTTGTTTTATGTTGCAGCTTTTTTGGGTTCTTTTAAGCTGTGATAGTGACGGTAACTGATGCTTTTCATTTTGTTCAACTTACACAAAACAAGCCAGCATCTGATCAAAAGTATTACATAAAATCTTTCTTAAACTATTGAAAGGTGCTTTGGTGATTTTCTCCTTTTGGTTTGTAGAATTAGGACCGAGCGTGACTAATTACTACAGTTGCCATCACTTTTCTGTGGTAAAACTACTGATATTTGCTTTTCTATATAAAAAATGTTGCCTAAGGATGTCTGCTATTTGTTTTCAAGAGTTGTCCAGTGGGAATGTTGTCTCTTTATGTGTGAATATGAAAGTGCTTATTTTGTTTGTTGCTGTTGGTTTTTGTTTGTTTTGTTTTTTAGTTTTTTGTTCTTCTCGGTAGTCCTGTGTTAGCACTGGGTAAGCTTTAAATGTCTCCTTAGCCAATCAAATCTTAAAGACTATGGGGGTCTTTTCTTTTTTTAATTAACATGTCATTGTGCATCTATTAAATCTTGATCAGGGTTTCAAGAATGACTGCAGTGGATTTTGGAAACAGACTTATCATTATTGATTTGGGGTTTCCCAGAGATAAATATAGTTCACAGTTAATTGTTGAGCTCTAATACAACTGACCATTTAAAAATTTAACAACAGTTTATTGTTTTGTAACAATGTCAGTTGTTAAACCTTGACATTTCAATTAAAACACGAATTGTAGTTATAACTCTGCAAATTCAACAGTTGTATTTGGAGTTAAATTATTTTAACAAATAAATTTATTTAATGAAATTTTCTCTGGATTTTATTTGGTTTTGTACATGTTCATGATTGAAATGTGTTTACCACATACAAAAACAACTAGAAATTGCCACCAAATGAATTTAATACTCTTCATACAGAGATATTCAAGCTGAATAAAATTGAGAATTTATCGTATTAAAAGGGAGGTTAGGAGTTAATTTTCATACCCTTTATAAAAAAAAATAACACGATTTAAAAATCAGCAATCGCAAATACATATAAACTTATCTCATAGTTTTATACATATTTTATTTTCATTTTCTGCCCACAAGTTTATTCAACACAAAATAATGCTATCTGGCTAATTTGAAGTCTCAGTGCTAATCTTAACAAAACTGTTCTAGGTAACATTACTAGTAATTAGCAGTTGCTTTTTGGTCTTGCTAGTATCACCAAAGTGCATCAGTGCCCTTCCAGTGATGGCTTGGAGCTGTCTTTCTGGTCCTGTGGAGTTTGAGGTGCCAGAAGCTGGAGGTAGCTGGTGGACCTGCCTGTTCTATATGGGGCCCTGTGAATGTTGACAGATGCTGTTAATTATATACAGCTTCAGCTGCTCTGATAAGGAGCCCATTCATTCCCAAGCCAATTTAAACTATGCCTTTTGGTTATGTTGCCTTCAATCTCTGTTGAAATCCCCTGGCAACACTCCACCAGTGTAGAAGCTCCATTGTGTTAGGATATAAGAATAATTTGAATGAAGATAACAGAGGTACTGTTGACAGAATCTCAAATATTTAAAGGAAAATGTGCCTATGTTTTAGCACCATAGATAAATATCTGCTGGTTAGCTTTCTTTATATTCTCACTTGAAGCATTTGTAAAGTATTTAAATTAATTCTCGTTTCAATTGGAAGAATTTCTTTGTGACAAAAAAAAATAGTATTTTGAAATTCTTCCAAGTTACACAGTTTATTGATTGTTAGAGGTCCATGAATGGACATGCAAGTAGCTGAAGAAATAAGGTGCCACCCAATTTGGAGCCCATCTGACCTCTGGACCTTTCTTTCTTAATTTCAAATATCCCTGTTTAAATTCTAATAAGAATATAAATTCTAATAAGACAGTGACACTTCATTGGTTAAATGGGTTTTGTTTTGTTTTCCTGGTTTTTGTTTTTTTTAAATCCTTTATGGTATTAGGTTTTTAAAGATCTGCCACTCTTCCCGGTGTAAGGTGATGTGTTATTTCTTGCAATATTTTCTTAGAACTACTCTTCATGTTACTAAGAATTCCTCCAAGACTTATTAGTGGAGAAGAAGGGAGGAGACTATCTACTTAAAAGATTAAATACAAACACCTTTTTAAGTACACACAAATTAGGAAAAAAGAAACCAAAGAAATGATACTTGGTTTAGGGGAATTTTTTATAAGCTTCTCCCATTTCAAAAACTCAAAAGTATCAGCCCCAGCCAGTTTGGCTCAGGCCCTCAGACTGAAGGGTCCCGAGTTCGATTCCAGTCAAGGGCATGTACCTTGGTTTCAGGCTCGATCATCGGTGAGGGTGCAGTAGGCAACCACTTGATGTGTCTCTCACATCGATGTTTGTCTCTCCCCCTCCATTCCACTCTCTAAAAAATCAATGGGAAAAATATCCTAGGGTGAGGATTAACAAAAACAAACAACCCTCAAAAGTATCATATTTCATTGCTTTATCATATGATTACAATTTAAAAATGACAGCATGTGGGATATAACAGATTTTTATCTTTAAAAAATTAGATATTAGTGAAAAATACAAAAATAAAAGGAAAAGCCATCCAATTCCCTAGTCCACAAAAACAAAACAAAACATATTAACATTTGTAAATCATTCCAAACATATTTCTATGCAGATACACACAAGACATAGGTAGAAGGATGAATAACTCCATGCTACTCATGAGAAACTGGCTATAAAACAAATCATCCAAGGTCACTTGACTAATAAAGTGGCAGAGGTAGGTGCAGACCCAAGCTTCTAACTTTCAATCATCTTTTCCTCACTGTTAATTCTTCTGGTGAAGTGATTTCCACTTACCCAGGCTCATTCAGCTATTACTCATTGAGGGTTACACCTACGTTTAACATGATGCAGCAATACACAAATAGGCAATACATCATCCCTGATATACAGCTTAATTCTGGCTGCTATAACAAAATACCATAGACTGGGTAGCTTATACAACAAACATTTATTTCTCACACTTCTGGAGGCTGGGAGGTCTATGATTAAGACTGACAGATTTGGCCCAGCCCGTATGGCTCGGTGTTTGAGCCTCCACCAAGAACCAGGAGGTCACGGTTCAATTCCAGGTCGGGCACATGCCTTGGTTGTGGGCTCAATCCCCAGTGGGGAGTGTGCAGGAGGCAGCCGGTCAATGATTCTCTCTCATCACTGATGTTTCTCTCTCCCTTTCCCTTCCTCTCTGAAATCAATAAAAATATACATATTTTTAAAAGTGACAGATCTGGTGTCTGGTTAGGGCCCATCTCCAGGTTGCAGACTGCCAACTTCTCACTGTAACCTCATTTGGTGGAAGAGAGAAGGCAGCTCTCTGAGGTCTCTTTAATGATGATACTAACCCCATGTGTGGGCTCCACCCTCATGCCTAATCCCATCCCAATACCATCACACTGGGGATTAGGTGTCAAGGTATGAATTTTGAGGGGATTCAACCATTCAGTCTATATATGGCACTAGTTTTGTCTCCTTGCCTTTCCCTTTGCCTCAAGTAGATACAAATTAGCCCTACTGGCAAGAAATAATTCATTTGTACCTTTTCTACTTCTGCCTGCCAGTACTCCAGTAACACAGGCCAAACCAGAGTCCTGGGCACAGCCCACAGAGGCTGCTGCTGGCTCAGTTCTCTCAACAGCCAGCATGACCAGCCTGAGCTCTTCCATTCTGAGAATTTGAGGCATCTGGATGCTGGTGGGTGGGGGTGGATGGCAATACAACAGAGCTCCAGGCTCCGCTGTTGTAGGATGTGTCTACTTCCTAAGGAAGTGTTCAGGCTAACAATGGGATCTGCAAGGGGCCAGCTCCTGGAGGGTGGACAGCGGGGCACTGAGCTAACTTGGGGATAGTAGCAAAGCTGAGGGGATCAGAGGGATCGATGTCAGATACTACACTGAAGAATAAATCCTGGGTCTATGCCTACAGTTAAAAATTAGACTATTTATTTATTTATTTATTTATTTATTTATTTATTTATTTATATTTGTTAATCCTCATCCAAGAAAATTTTTTCATTAATTTTTAAAGAGAGTGGAAGGGAGGAGGAGAGAGAGAGAGAAACATCAATTGGTTGCCTCCCACATGCACCCCCGACTAGGGTACGGGATCGGGCCTTCAACCTAAGTATGTGCCCTTGACCAGGAATCAAACCCAGGACCCTTTAGTCCAAGGGCCAATGCTCTGTCCACTGAGCTGAACCAGCTAGGACAACATTTTTAGATTTTAGTGAGATTTTTAGTTTAAAATGTCAGGATTGGAAAGCATTTTCTAGGCTGCTCCTACAAAATGAGGGGTGATTCACATATACTTAGAGCAATGGAAATAAATCATTTTTAAGTGAGGAACACTATGAAAGCCAAGAAATTATATACTTTTAGTGGAAGGACAGTAGAATTTCTGTTTAAAGAATCACAGCAAATAAAAAAGTGTGAACCAAAGCAACTGGGACTTCATTTATTTAGCCCTCAGTCATGTCTCAGTGGTAAGAAAGGGAGAAAGCCAGGACCTACAATCTGTGAGTCCGGTTCCAGAGGGAGATCTGCCATGGAACATTCCAGCACGTGGACGTTCTTTATTTCTTTGGATAACTTTTCCCCCATGTGTGTTCTGAAGAGGTCTTATACCATGAGATGTTTTGCAGGAAATTATTCTAGAGGTCAAGTAAGTTTGAAAACTGCATAATACATCTCACTTCTTGGAAAAGGCCCTGAAAAAAATCCACTGATTTTCTAAAACTAATCTGAGCCCAGGACACTCTCTTCGTGGAATACATAGTAGTATGCTCTGGAGCAAAACTTGGGGAATGTTGCTGTTAGATATTTGCCTTCCAAACCGTGCTGTGGGGACTCTGTCCAGGTCTCGGGGCCTGGGTCACCTGTGAAGCTGAGACGAGAGAGAGAGAGAGAGAGAGAGAGAGAGAGAGAGAGAGAGAGAGAGAGAGAGAGAGAGATGGCGAGCTCACTGTGGTCTCTGTCCACTTTCCTCAGACTCATACTTAACCTTTGCCCTCAGAGTTTACCTTCTTGAAAAAGGTAAGAGGAGGAAGAAGGAAAGAAAATCAAGAAAAATGTCAAGACTAAACAATGACTGTTTTCTCCTTAAAGCTTATAGTGGCCACTCTTTATGTCTAATCGGCCTGGCCACCGTGGCTCAGTGGTTGAGCATTGACCTATGAACCAGGAGGTCATGGTTTGATTCCCAGTCGGGGCATATACCCAGGTTGCCGGTTCAATCCTCGATCATGTAGGAGGCAGCTGATCAATGATTCTGTCTCATCACTGATGTTTCTATCTCTCTCTCCCTCTCCCTTCCTCTCTGAAATCAATGAAGATACATTTTTTTAAGAAAAAAGAAGATATATGTCTAATCGTAGGCCAACTCACGACAGAGTGTTTTTTCTTAGCAGATAGCAGCCTGGACTTATTCCCCACACTACAGTACCCACCCCATTGCATTGTGACTCACCAGTTTCCTTGACCTTGGCCAATGTCAGGAAATGATGAGGAGGTACCATTAAGAAAGCACTGGCTGACATCAAGACATCCCTGAATCTTACCCTTGATCATCCTCATCTCATCCTTAAGAGATATATAAGCTTCTGTGTACCCACGGTCACGCAATCACACACACACACACACACACACACACACACACACACACACACACAGACACCAGAGTGAGGGAACAGCAATTGCTTGCTGGAGATTTCACTGTAGAACTGCAGTGAAGAATACTAATGCACTAACTGTACTCCCACAGGCTCAGGTTGCCA